AAGGAGGATGACGACGATGGAGCAGAAAAACATGGAGGAGTGGAAGAGAGCAAAGGGTTTGAGCCAGATGACCTTCCCCACAACAAGAAACGTAGGGCTAGGGAAGAACTGCCCAGAGGATCAGAATGATGGTAGCGAAAACATGGAGGATACTGGTGAAAGTACTCCTAAACGAACTCGAGTACTAGGTAACAGCCTTGGTAGACGGGTGCAGTTTTCTTCTGTTGCTGCTGTTTCTGTTTTTGATCCGAAGGATAGCTTAGCCTCCCCCATGCTGCCCCCTCACGGGGTCCCAGTTCATGGTAGATAGAAGTGTTTTGTGTTTTCAACCGCACTAAGACTGACGTCTTTTCATTGGTCAGCCGGTTAGCGCGGTCGATGCTAATAATAAAAGCACACACATGGACATCAATTTGAGAACAGTAATTAATTCAGGGGTCGGGCTGACAGGCGGTGTTATTCAACGTGCGCAGAACCCAGGCGGGGAAACAAAAGGACCCATCTAAAACAGTATTTTTGCGAAAAAAAAACTCCGCTTTTATAGCTCCATTTTTTTTTCGCACGCGCGCTTCGCGCGCGGAAAAAACTCCTATCAGAGACGATACTGCTGTCGATTTTCCTTTGTCTCGAGTATTGTAGTCTATGCACACGTGTGTGCGTTGGCGGCTCAGCATATCTAGTAGCGCACCTCCAGGGTACGAACACCGCAGGAGGCATACGTAGGCAGCACTATAAGCAGGCCCTGTATATGGGGCAAGCGTTTCTCCTCGTTGCCCCGTTGCCCCTGTTCTCAACGTTTGCTCTCGATATGTATGTCTGCTCTCGATATGTATCTGTGGGTGAACACTTGACAGTCTATACCTTCCCCGTGAGAAGCGCTTATTCGAACAAGTCAACACACAAGGGAGAATGTCTGCATACTCCTTACTATTCGTGCACAGCAGGCTGTACTTTCGGGCCAGTAGTTTCAGCCCCCGTCCACCTGACGGAGGTTTCCAAGAAGGCATCAGATGAGCCCCTTATTTTCGTCGCGTTGGGTCCTCTCTCCACCACCACGATCTCAAGTGAGTGCATCGACCTGATGGCACGTGCTTGGGCTTTCCCATGTCCCCACCGTTCATTCTCCTACATTGCGTCCCTAGGATAAATCTCAAACATCATTGGGAAACGTGGGCAGCATGGTCCCGCATGCGGGCGCACAAGGTTCGGAGCAAGAAGATCAGGGCGGAGTGGAGCGTGTAGAATTCAGTGTACGACGACTGCGTCCACGACCAGCATGGGACGCGGAGTCTGGTGGTCCATCTTTCTCGGCCAGCCGCTCTTCAGTCCATCTGGAGGAGGGGAGGGGGGGCAGGGACTCAATGCAATGGCAGTCCCCGACGGACTGGGGGCCCAACCGGGATGGAGCTGCAGCAGCTGGTACTGGCGGCCTTAGTACGGGGGTGTTCGGCTCGAACGGGACGGGATTGCGTACGGGGGTGTTCGGCTCGAACGGGATGGGATTGCGCACGGGAACTGGGAGATCAGTCATGGGAGGTGCGCCGGTATCCCGGGCCAATGTATCAGCAGCTAGCATCGCACCTCGACAGGGTGCGCGCACGGGCGTGGGCAGGTTAACCCTAGGAGGTGCGCCAATGTCCACGACTTCGTGTGGAACAATGATTGCGCCTGTATCCCCGGCGACTGTGACGGCAGCCGGCATGGCCCCTCGCCCAGGTGCGAACCAACCGCGTTCGCCGCTTGCATTGCCCAAGTTTATTCCGATAGGCACGGCCTCGGCACCCTAGACCATAGGCACCAGTGGAGGAGCGGGTGAGAAGAGAGCGGCGGGATCACCTCTACATGAGGACCTCAACTCATCCCTGGAGCACGAGAGCAAACAGTCTTGGGCTGCCGACCCCAGCATGTCGTCCAGCGTCTCGACGGGGGGGAGGCGAAAAGGCCAGCTGACTGAAGAAGCCAGAACATGCCACGAATGTAGGACGAAAGATCCCAGGCAAGGCATTAAAAATGCTTGCGGAGATTCGGCATGCTGCTATTGGCTGTGCCAAAAATGCTTGGAACGATGGACGGAACAGTCTGGACGTGATGGATTTCAGTGCTGCCTACATTATGGAAGCCTGTGGTGCCCGTGCAAAAAGTGAGGATGCGTTGTGCCATGTTACAAGGTCGTGTCACACCGTTCATAAAATATGTCGGTGACACAAGTAAAGGAGATGTCGTTGAGCTCTGCATAAAATATGATAAGATCCAGAGAAAAACAAAGATAAGAGGCCGTTTGGCTTGCACAACGTACAGCAACCGTTCCTCAAGTCCACCTCGGCTTTCGCGTAATGAGTCGCGTCGGCATGGAGGAAATAACTGGATGAGTTGAGGGGTGTGCTTCGGAAAGTGATGGGAGCATGGAGTGTTGTTTTGAACATTTGCCGTGCACCTTTTCCTGGGCATTTTTCCCTGAATACCCATGCAGTAGTTCCAGCCCGGGAAGAAGCATGTGACATATTGGTAACCTGTCGAGCATGATCTCATACACGCCGATGTGATTATCCGTTGCCTCACCGTACAATTGTTGGCTGTTGCACGCGGTCGTATAGCTATCATTGCACAAGCAGTTGCCTCATGACAAAATCCCCGCAAGACACGCTGATGTTTTGCCCGCAGCAGATTCCGAAAATAATGCAAACGCCGCTATGCGTGCGGCTCATGTCGAAATCCCTGCGAGACACGTTGATATCTTGCCCGCGCCAGACTCTGCCTAGCCTATAGCATACGCCGCTATGCTCGCACTGTGGGTAGAATTGTTTGGTGCTTGTCACTGTGGTACACACACGCCGATGTGACAGTCTGTTGCCTCACCGTTACAATTGTTGGCTGTTGCACGCGGTCGTATAGCTATCATTGTACAAGCATAGTGCCCACAGTTGGTGCCCATCCAACCCATGCTAGCACACAATCTCCATTCTGTCACGTTTCCGTCACCGCCTACAAGCCGGACAAGGGTCAGGACAGGACCCGTCGCGGTGTTGGATCGATCGACGCAAGCGAAGACCCGCCATGTGCGCACGAGCGTTTTCGAGTTTCCGGCGCCGTCACCTCCAGTCGTCACCGCCGCAACGACAACTCTCAGTGCCACACCAACCTCGGGGACGGGTACGACATACTCGGTGTGCACCTCGGTCAGCCTTAACCGGGTGGCGGTGATCAAGGCTGGTAACAAGTACATGTGCTCAAGGAATGACTGCAGCGGTGAGTAAACCTACACGGAATTCAATGCTGTAAGTTGGGTTATCATGCCCTTAGATTTGCAGAGAGACGGGCCTGCTCGTGCGAGTTATCTATGCGCCTTCGTTTATTGTTTTGCTAAATATGTCGCGAAAGCATATATTCTTAAGACGCCCAATCCCATGAACATCTTCATCACCTTGTGCTTTCATTTGAACGAACAAAGTTCTGACACTCTGTGCGATTCGCCAAATTTTCCGCTTTCATCTTGCAGCGTCGACAATCTTCAAACCTCAGCTGCAGCCACTGGTGTCACGGACCCGCCACTACCAGCTCGTTGCCCACATGCGGAGGTCGTGTTGGAAGCGGAGGGATCATCTACACCGATGCCGAAAGCAGATCCCGTGTTTTCGGCAGAGGAATTTAGACAAGCATTGACCACAGTGCCACCAGGAACTTTCAACGAGAGCACTACTCGAGCCATGCACACACGCGCTGATCAGGCGGCGCAAGAAGGCGTCCCGGTGCTTGTCGGCCTCGGGAGCACGAGGTACTTTGGGATTAAGGACGGCCATGAAAACGACCGCACTGTGATTGGAGGGTTGTTTGTTGTTGTTGTTGTTGTTGTTGTTGTTGTTGTTGTTGTTGTTGTGTTGTTGTTGTTGTTGTTGTTTTTCTTCACATTTAACTCGTGTCAGTTGCTAATCCCAAAATCTAGCACAGACTCGGTCCGTGGTCACAAAAATGCTAGAGCCATCAGAAGATCTAAAGAACACACACACTAGATCGCAAGAAAAGGGTACACAAGCCCGAGGAGGTACACCTACAATCCCTGCAGCACGTTTGCGTGCTCACAACTGAACTACACGCCCACACACTACAATTCGACTACAGCAGCAGAATCACCCCCCTTGTCCCGAATTTAACCAAAATGAATGTCGACTACAACGTACTGCTGTCTGAAGTGCTGTCTGTACAATAATAACACCATGGTACATGGTACACGAGCTCGGGGCATGCAGCTGCTGTCTGAAGTGCTGTCAGAATGAGTCCGTGACANCAGTGTAAACACCGACACTGACTAGGAATCGTTCCACATTGAAGGGGTCTTCCACGATGCAGGTACACAATTAAGGCACCCGGGTTATCCGAGCCATCTCTGCCGCGTCTCTCTACAAAACCAGTGACCTCATTACACACACCCAACACCTTTACACTATTCAGGAAAAAACGGAAAATAATTGACAACGCAAGAAATGTTTGTCGGTGCGCCACGGTTCGATGCCGTCCGCATGCTCCGGTGTCACTGCTCCGGTGCCGCTGCTCCGGTGCCGCTGTGGCAGGTCCTAGCACGACCAAACTCGACCCGCTCCGCTTCGTACACGCTCTCGTTGCTGTCCTTCCCAGTCGGTTCCTCGCATTCTCCCTCGTTGCACTTAGGGTTCTTGGTCTGAAAATTCCCGCTCCAAAGGGTCAACCAGCCCAATCAGCTCGTCACCACCTATCCCCTCCTCCTTTGATGGCAAAACCAGGTTACTGAGACAGTACAGCTCCCTCTAGCAAACCTAGGGCCGTGTACATAGTGTCCGTCCACCTTTCTGATGACGTCTGCCTCCGGGCACAAAGATGAGACGGGCATTGCTGCCTACACCGACGGCCTGGAGGCCCGCGCATCTGCACCTTTATACCTGACGCACCAGTGCCGACCCAACTCTACCACTACGCACGCCTCGCGGCGGGTGCGCCGCAGCAAGAAGGTATCAATCCCTTGAGGGTGAGTCTAGCCCTGCTCGCTAGAAAGACCCCCCCTCTCGCTATGGGTCATGCCTACGCAAAACCTTCCCGAGGCAGCGAGGGGAAGAAGGTGTAGAGTGGGCGCACGTGAAGTACGATGACAAGGGCGGGAGCAAGATGTTTCAGTGCAAGGGGTGGGCGAAAGGGTGAGGTTCGACTTGCGGTGGTTGAATGTCGGCATGATTGAGGTGCTTCTTTGGCTTCGTAAGTGTGCCCACGAGTGGTGACGTGTTCAAACCGTGGCCGCGGAAATTGTAGACATGATGACTCCCGGAGCCGTAAACGAGAAAAAATGTACTATGAATAGGTTGAGGTGTTGCACTCACGAACGCCCACACAACAAAACTCTTCTGCCAGAGTGCAGGGCGTGGACCTACTTGTCTTGTGTGTTGTCAATGTTGAGCAGGCTGTTGGTATGCAGGCGGCGGTATGCATGGTATTTCAGATCGCCCTTGCGGATATGGACGTTTGGACACCGTTGGTTTTGGAGACAAGACCACTACCGGAAACGTCCCCGCGCGCACCCCAACGCCCGGCTTAATCACTAATGTTGCTTTTTCGTCGCCCCTTTTTTGGTCCTTGCCGGCGCCTGATAAAGGCGAACAACGGTAATTCGTGTGGTGACAGTAAGTCGAGGAGAAAGACGGGCCGCTGTTTTCACGCCGCCATTGTTGCTATATACATTTACCACCGAGACAAGATTGGCCTCGGAGGGGGGGTGGACCTGGAGCTCGATGGCGATATGGACGGAATGGAGTTCGGGCCAGAGGGGTGTGTGGGGGGGGATGAACACAGCACTGGTAACAACGTGGAGTTCGCGTCGTCCACCGAGCGCACCGATCCTATCCGTTTCAAACAGCAGATGGCCCAGCTCACAATGATTTGTTCTGTGTACAACCTTCCCGTCGACGAGCCTGAGTTCAAGGAAGGAACGTACGGGCGCGACACCATTCACATCAACGGATGGATGCATTTGCACAGGCTGCGGGAATCCGTACGAACTACTCTCCGACGCTGACGCCATCCTCGTCGGCCAGGTGGGTAATCGGGTTGAGAAGTAGGACCTTGTCTTCCTCGACGCTGAGACGTAGTTTCTTGCTGCCCACCACGTGGTAATTTTACACCGGAAAACAACGGCATGAAATAACGGCATGGAAACGAAGGATAAGCTGGCCTGCATTGTCCCATGTGTTTAGAGAGTGACTCCTCCCTTCACGTATCACGTCTAGTTTCGTACGGCGGGCTTGCGTCGGTGGTGTTGGTCAAGTGAGCAGGGCTGGTCAAGTGGGCCAACAGCTACAACACCTACCGTGATGTCTCATGTCTCATTTTTCCTGTGTCCGGGCGGTTGTACAGCAGCTACAACACCTTACGTACTTTCTCATTTTTCCTCTGTCTGGGTGGTTGCACAGCAGGCAGCGGGGAGAGCAGAACTGCGAGTGGTGAAGATCGAGCGAAAGGAATGCAGGGGGTGCAACCTACGAGGCTGGGCAGGCGACGACATCTACGAGGATGGGGTGTTTAACTACAACAACGTTGTAATTGAATTGCGCCTTCTCTACGACATCCGCAGGGCTTTCAGCAGCGATACTCCGATATCGACCTGGATCAAAACCTTCCTGGCACCCCTAGCAGATAGCCTGGCCTGGCTGGACGCCTCGGATGCCAACCGCATCTTGGCTTCACGGTGAGTGGTACTCGGAGGCGGTATATGTCCTTGGTTCTTGTTGAATGATGGACAACAACAACGTTTTCTGCAATATTTCTCTAATCATTCACCATGGTGATGCATGACTAAGATATAGTCGCAAAAAAAAGGGAGAGCAACACGTTTAAATCTGTGTGTCCAGTTATCGCTATTTGAGTGGTGAGTGCGAGATTTAGATGCCTTACCGATGCTGGCAAGGGTTGCTGGCAAGGGTAGCGCAAGCNGAAAAAATAAAAAAATGCCCAAGAAAGTGAGTATTTGGCTTGTGCTACCCTCGACCGCAAGGGTACCGTCCCTCAATTTCGTCCACACCACTGAAACGGCGATATCTGGACCAAGAAAAGATCAATCCGCGTTCAGTTTTTTCTCGTGGTCGACTCTGACCCCCTTGACAATCACCACGACAAATCTATGAGAATAAAAGAGAACACACGGGTTTTCTGATCGTTTTACACCTGCTCGCAGCGACTGGTTAAAGGCTAAGGGACATTTTTTGGAATGTTTTCCTCCACCACATCTTGTTTTGTTTTTCACCAATTTGACGGAAAGTCTGTTATTGTGTGGTGTGCTGGTACAC